GAGATTCTATTAAAAAAAAAAAGAAAAGAAAAAAAAAATTCTGCAACGTTACCGGCACTGATCTGGCATCTCGCCTTCAGTCATTTTCACACTTCCGTCACTACGCATAATGTAGATTTTCTTTGTCTTTTCTACAAATACTTTCATGGTAAGTGTCCTGATGAACTTTCTTCAGTGTTAACGGCAGGGTTAGGGTTAGAATATAACTCTATGAATTTAAGCGTAGTACTAGTTTTGCGCCAACGTTTCATCATTTTACAGTTGGTGATGGTAGTGGTGATGATTGTTGTGGTGTTAGCGGTAGTGATGGTGAAGATGATGATAGTGGTGGTGGTGATGATGATGGTGGTGGTGGTGATTATGATGATAGTGGTGGTGGTGGTGGTGGTGATGATAGTTGTAGTGGTGGTAGTGATGATGATGATAGTTGTGGTGGTGGTAGTGATGATGATGATGATAGTTGTGGTGGTGGTAATGATGATAGTGGTGGTGGTGCTGGTGGTGTTGATAGTGGTGGTGCTGGTGGTGTTGATAGTTGTGGTGGTGGTAGTGATGATAGCGGTGGTGGTAGTGGTGGTGGAGGTGATGTTGATAAAAATATTGACATGATGGTGATAGTGGTGGTGACGATGATAGTGGTGGTGGTAGTGATGATGATGGTTGTGGTGATGATCATGATAGTGGTGGTGGTGGTGGTGATATTGTTTGTAGTGGTTGTAATAGTGATGGTGGTTTTGATAATAGTGGTGGCGGTGATGACGATGATGTTGGTGGTGATGGTGGTTGTAGTGATGATTTTGATCCTGTTGGTGATGATGATGATGAGGATGATAGTGGTGGTTGCGGTGAGGAGGATTATTATAATCATGCTGGTATTTTAAGAAGTATTGTCTGATTTGTTTTAACGTTGTATTTGAATCAGTAACTCTCCAACCTTCTTCAGGCAACAAATAGAACGCAAAAAGAAAAGTAATAAGCGAAAGGAAATAAGACGGCCATTTGTTTAATAATTCGAATTTTGGATGGAATTTCTTTACACGCCTTAATATTTTATTTAGAACGTGTAAAGAAAGGAAGTGTTTCTGAAATATTTGAGTGCCAGCGGAAGAAAACATTCATAGAATCTTTTGTGTAAATAGTGAGAAAGTCTGTTGCGTTATGCAGATTGAAATTAAAATCAGGCAAACGATGATCTTTGTTGCACGAGTTTCTTTTCAAGTTAAACATTTTATATTTTGTACAGTTGTACAAATAGAAATGCTTAAAAGGTTACGAACGTGGCGTGAGAGAGAGAGGGGGGAGAGAGGAAGGGAGGGAGGAAGAGAGAGTGGGACAGGGAGAGAGGAAGAGAGGGAGTGAGATAGAGAGAGAGGGGGACAGGGAGAGAGGGGGGATTTTATAAAAAGAGAGATATATATATTTATTTAGAGAGATTTTTCCAATGCCCAGAGAAAGGGAGAATGTTGTAAGGGAGATTTAATTAGAAAGATTTAGAAAGAGGAAGAAAAAGAGAGAAAGAGAGAGAGGGGAAGAGAGAAATGCTAGAGAGAGATTAAGAGAAAGAGGAAAAAAAGGACAGGGAAAGGAGGGGAGAGAAAGAGGGGAGAGGGAGAAATAGAGATTATTTGAGAGAGAAAAACAGGGATAGAGAGAGAGGAGAGATAGTGAAATCAGGGAGAATAGAGGGAGATACAGACAGGGAGAGAGGAGGAGGAGATGTGGGGAGAGAGGATCAAGAGAGAGGAGAGAGAGAGAATGGAAGAGGAGATTAAGAGAGAGAGAGAGAGCATGAATGATGAATTTGAAAGAAAAAAAAGAAGGAAGGAAAAAACAAAGAGAAGCGAAATAGAAATGGACGATAAAAAATAGGAGGGAAAAGAAGGCAGGGAAAGCGGCATAAAAGAAAGAAAGAAAGAAAGAAGGGAAGGAAGGGACAAGGAAAAAAGAGGAAGAAATAAATGACAGAAGAGAAACGAAAAAAGTGGAAGAGAAACGATGATAGCGAAAAAGAGAACGATATTGAGATTACAGGGAGCGAGAAATAAGGCCGAAAAATAAAATATCATATATAAAGTACAGTGTATGTGTATGTGGGTGTGCTCTCACTTGTCCGATTTCCATGATTCATAGCTCATTCACAAGCCTTGGAAAAATTAGTCGCAGGAAACGATTTTCGTTGAGCTCAGATTCAGGAAATGCCAGATTATATATATATATATATATATATATATATATATATATATATATATATGTATGTATTATAATAGCCATTATCGTTGCTTTTATAGTTAAGGTGAGTCACTCTTATTTTCCTTTTGTATCCAAAGTTGCAGTGCACGTTTTATTATAAATAGCTTAAAAGCCGCCCTATCGGCTGGCATTTAAGCGAGCTCCTGTGGAGAACTCATGGTTTGACCAGCATCATAATAGCTAACAAGAAGTAGATGTGATAGGCATCAATAAACTACAGAAGAACTCAAAACTGATCCCTGCCTTTAAGTATTGATTTAATGTTTAAACTTGCCTTTTAAAAGTTCAACGATAATTGTTCTGTTGCCACTTAATTTGATGCCAAGACAATTTGATGTACGTAGATCCTTATTTTCTGTACAATTATTTTTAATTCACGGGTGGCAGAACAGAGGACAATTCATGAGATAAAATTAATATAGTGTAAAGATGGAAAAATAGAAATTAGAATTAGTTATACATTCAACATTTGAAGAGTTAGAGAAACATAATAGTTAATTAAGTAAAACCTATATTATGGAATCTATATGAATAAATGCGAAATTGGAGCGCAATTCTCCCACTAATTCTGAAATTAAAAAGCCCCCAGCTTTACTTTATAATAATTTGCACAAAAAAAGCTCAATATATGTATTATATATTATCCACTTCTAGGCAATATCACTCTTCATTTGCATATTGATTTTTAAAAAAAAGTTTGTTTCATTTTTGACTGTCCCTCATTACTGTTCTTTTATTCGAGGATTATTTTGATTTTTACATTAAAAAAAAATTAGTTCTGTTTAGGAATAGTGTCTTATATAGTGCAGAAAAGTGTTTGAAATTTGCATTTTACTTGACCTTCAACAAGTTGGCATCTATTTGTAAAACTTTCCTTACTATAACAAGCCAATTTATGAATGAAATGTTCATTTACAATTTTTGTTTCAAAGATTTCATGTAGTGAATATATCTTACTTTGAGAAGCGATAGCGACCGGGCGAAGCCTTCTAGTATAAAATATAGAACGTGGACGGAGAGATAGAGAATATGAAAGGTAAATTTGGAAATCAAGGAAGGAAGGAAGGAAGGAAGGAAGGAATAAAGGGAAACAAAAGAGACATTGACGATAGAAAGGAAAGAATAAATATATGGAAGAGAAATCGGCATAATACAAAGAAAGAAACAAACGAAAAAGAAAAACAAGTGGATGATAGAAAAAGATAAAAAAAAATAGGCAGAGAAAATAAAAATAAAATTACAATTATCATGGGAAATTGAATAATAATTTCTTGTGATTTACGTTTTCTAGCAAGGAGTAGAAAGATACGATTTCTTCTTCCGTGTTTTGTGCTGTCGGTGCATACATTATTATAATAGATATGTTGAAAGTCTTTCCTTTCAGTTTAACCACAAGAATTCTTTCAGATACCTGACAGTAACTCGTTTCTTCATGTGTTAATCTAGTATCAATCCAACTCCTTTTTCATTTTTCTCTCCGCCTGCATATATAATCCTGTGGTTGTCACTGAGAAAGTCTCTACTGAGTGGCCACCTAATTTCACATACTCCTAGTATGTTGACATTTAACGTATTTACCTCCTGTTTTACATATTCCAACTGACCACAGTTGTATAACGTTCCATGTCCCCGGAGTTATTTTTAGATTTGATGCGAACAGTCGCCGGATAAGGGTCAGATTTGATTTTTAGTTTCCTCTCTCCTGGGATTATCCATATCCATAATCGTCTGCGAAGTGCTTGTAACCAGGTCTTGGTTATTACCTGGACATTCTCAGAGTACCAGTCGACACATTTTCTACGCGTTCGTTACGGGTTCTTAGTCCGAATTTACCAGTCATTTTCCCTTATTTCTCCTTGCCTACTTTGGTTGGCCTGAGAAAGACGTTAAATTACGCCCGCGTCCTGTGTAAGACGTTAAACTGCATCCGCGTCCTGGGTAAGACGTAAAAACTACGTCCAGCAGCAAGGCTTCTGATCAGGAGGTTTTGAGGAGCGTGGAACAACCTCTTAATTGCTAGTGTTCCCAGCTCCACTCTGACCAGGGGTGGTAGCACCTGTTAGGGTCACCTATGGGCAAATAGTTAACTATTACCAGCAATACTTTTTGGAAAAAATTATTACTTGCAATACTTTTGAAAAAATTATTATCAGCAATACTTTTTGAAAAAAATATTACCATCAATACTTTTTTGAAAAAAAATTATTACCAGCAATACAATTTTGAAGGAAATATATTACCAGAAACAGATTTTTGTCGAAACAAAATATTACCAGCAATAAAAATTTTTCATTGGCATTAAATAACCCATTGAGGTTGATATGCCGTTAAACAAAATAAACCAAACCATTCTAAACCAAAGAATACATATTCTATTCATACGAATCTATCCTAAAAATGTTGTCGGCATTAAATAACCCATTGAGGTTGATATGTCGTAAAACAAAATAAACCAAACAAATTTAAACCAAAGAATACATATTCTATTCATACGAATCTATCCTAAAAATGTTGTCGGCATTAAATAACCCATTGAGGTTGATATGCCGTAAAACAAAATAAACCAAACAAATCTAAACCAAAGAATACATATTCTATTCATACGAATCTATCCTAAAAATGTTGTCGGCATTAAATAACCCATTGAATTTGATATGCCGTAATTTTCTTGCTCTTAAAATATTTGCATTTTACCAAACAAATTAGAATTTAGTCAATTTGGCGAATGTCAGCCAGCAAGATAATTTGTGATGGACGGTGTTTTAAAAAATATTTTTCATATCCACCTCCTCTCGGGAAGTACCTCCGGATATATCTCCCTGCATATTCCTTTCTTTTTATTAACTGAATTGCTGGTAAAATATTTGAGTGATTTTCTTTATCTTAGACTATAGTTACCATCCTTCTTTTCTATTTGTTTTCTCATCATCTTATTTCTTTAGTTCGACTTATTTTTTTACTAATTTTTTCATTCTTTTCATTGGTTCATTCTTTCTTTCTTTTTTCTTTCATTCTTTCTTTCTTTCTTTCATTCTTTTTCTTTCTTTCATTCTTTCTTTCTTTCTTTCTTTCTTTCATTCTTTCTTTCTTTCATTTCTCGCTTCATTTAATTCGTTCGTTTCATTTTTTGTCTTTGCTTTCCCTCTTTCAAAACTTTTTACATCATTTTTCATTCTTTTCTTTCTTCCTGCAGTTTGTTTTTTCATTCTTTCTTTCTTTCATTCAATAAACATTTAATTAATTTTTTTTTTTTTTTTTTTTTTCATTTTCTGGTGTTGTCCTTGCTCTCCATCATTTAAAAAAAAAAAAAAAATATTTTTCATTCTTTTTTCTTCTTTCCTGAAGTCTTTTCTTTCTTTCTTTTTTTCTTTCTTTTTTTTTTCTTTCTTTACTCTTTTTTTTTCATTTCATTCTTTTTTTTTTTTCTGGTTTTTCAATTGCTCTCCCTCATTAAAAAAAAAATTTTCTCCATTCTTTCATTCTTTTCGTTTTTTTTTTCTTTCTTTCTTTTTTATTTTCTTTCTTTTCTTCTTTTTTTTTCTTTTCTTTTTCCATTTCCTTCGTTCTTTTTTTTTTTTTCTGGTTTTTGTCTTTGCTTTCACCATTTGTCTCATTTTTAGGAGTTTTTTTTCATTTTTCTTTCTTTTCTACGATTCTGCTCTGTGTTTTTTTCTTTCGCTCTTTCCTCTTTCTTTTTTTTTCATTCTTTATTTAATTTCATTCGTTTTTTCTTCATTTCCTTTTGCTTCTTTTTTGTTAATGTGGTCTTCTTAGTTTTCTTTCTTTCTACATATTTTGTTTCATTTCTATGATTCATTTCTTTTTTTATTCATTTCTTTCTTCCCTTCCTCTCTCTTTCTTTCTTTCTTTCTTTCTTTCTTTCTTTCTTTCTTTCTTTGTCAACGTCACAGTCACCAGCTTTTATAAGTGTGTGTTTTCGAGGATATATCTGCCTGGAATTCAATTCATGGGCGTTGTCGATGCGGGTCACTTTCGATTGTGGCTCGAGTTTCTTTTAATGAAGAAATCAAAGCTGACTTTGTAAAGTATCCGACAATTAATTCTCCCTTTTTTTTTCTGTTCTGAGAAAAATCAATTTTCCTCTTTAAATAATGGCTTGTCTCTTAGACGAATAAACGTTCAAGTACTGTCTCTTCACGTGTCAAATAAATATTATTATTTCGTATTTAAAAAGTAAAAGAAAATTTTAAGGGTGCGTGTGAATAAAATTTTTCGGGTGGGGGGGAATAAATTTGCGCATGTATCTCAAAGTATAAATTAACACGATCCCACCCTTTCACTGTCGAAACGGGTAAATGTCGCCGTATCTTCTACTTCAATAGCTTCAGGTCTCGCACCTCTCGTCTGTGGAATTCCCTTCCTATTACCTGTTTCCCTGATAGCTATAATCTCCAACAATTCAAATGTAATGTCAATCGACATCTCCAGATGTCCTGACCTATTCCCTGTCCTTCTCTTCATCCTTTCCTCCATCACGCCTTTTTACTCTCGCTGCCACTCTGTAACCCCCCTTGCGTACTAGTGGCATCCCGCCTTGCTTGGGGTGAAATGCACCCGATATATAAAAATAACTATGAATTAAACAAATTGTATGACACGAAGAAACGAAAACTTAATCATCAATGGCACGAGGCGAGAACAAAAATAAACAGAAAAAAATGGATTGATGAAATTAGATAACGCAGTCTCATTAGAAAATTAGGTTTTTCAGTATAATACTGGCCCCTTTTTTACTCTTTATATATTTGATTTCCTCAGAGGGAGTAGGTAGGTTCGCCTATCGTCCGGTTCACACTCCTCCCTGGTCATCTGAACAGAAAAAGAGGTGTGTCCATTGTTTCCTGTTTAGGATTGGGTTTCCGGTTCCTTCTAAATTCTACTTCAACTCTATACTTCTAACTTTTCTCCACCTAAACTCTGAAATGTTATTTATTTATTTTCTTCCTTCAGTAGGAGTAGATAGGAATTAGAGGTTTATCCCTTGTTTTTTGAAAACTTGATTTTAGGTTTGGGTTTCGGTTCCTTCTAAAGTCTACTTCAACTCTATACTTCTAACGTCTCCAACTAAAAAAACACTCTGAAATGTTATTTATTTATTTTCTTCCTTCAGTAGGAGAGATAGGTTTTTTGAATAGGAGTAGAGGTTTATCCCTTGTTTCCTGTTTAGGATTGGGTTTCCGGTTCCTTCTAAAGTCTACTTCAACTCTATACTTCTAACGTCTCCACCTAAACTCTGAAATAGGTTTTCTTCCTTCAATAGATAGGTTTTTTTAATAGGAGTAGAGTTTATCCCTTGTTTCCTGTTTAGGATTGGGTTTCCGTTCCTTCTAAAGTCTACTTCAACTCTATACTTCTAACGTCTCCACCCTAAACTCTGAAATGTTATTTATTTATTTTCTTCCTTCAGTAGGAGTAGATAGGTTTTTTGAATAGGGTAGAGGTTTATCCTTGTTTCCTGTTTAGGATTGGGTTTCCGGTTCCTTCTAAAGTCTAATTCAACTCTATACTTCTAACGTCTCCACCTAAACTCTGAAATGTTATTTATTTATTTTCTTCCTTCAGTAGGAGTAGATAGGTTTTTTGAATAGGAGTAGAGGTTTATCCCTTGTTTCCTGTTTAGGATTGGGTTTCGGTTCCTTCTAAAGTCTACTTCAACTCTATACTTCTAACGTCTCCTCACCTAAACTCTGAAATGTTATTTATTTATTTTCTTCCTTCAGTAGGAGTAGATAGGTTTTTTGAATAGGAGTAGAGGTTTATCCCTTGTTTCCTGTTTAGGATTGGGTTTCCGGTTCCTTCTAAAGTCTACTTCAACTCTATACTTCTAACGTCTCCACCTAAACTCTGAAATGTTATTTATTTATTTTCTTCCTTCAGTAGGAGTAGATAGGTTTTTTTGAATAGGAGTAGAGGTTTATCCCTTGTTTCCTGTTTAGGATTGGGTTTCCGGTTCCTTCTAAAGTCTACTTCAACTCTATACTTCTAACGTCTCCACCTAAACTCTGAAATGTTATTTATTTATTTTCTTCCTTCAGTAGGAGTAGATAGGTTTTTTGAATAGGAGTAGAGGTTTATCCCTTGTTTCCTGTTTAGGATTGGGTTTCCGTTCCTTCTAAAGTCTACTTCAACTCTATACTTCTAACGTCTCCACCTAAACTCTGAAATGTTATTTATTTATTTTCTTCCTTCAGTAGGAGTAGATAGGTTTTTTGAATAGGAGTAGAGGTTTATCCCTTGTTTCCTGTTTAGGATTGGGTTTCGGTTCCTTCTAAAGTCTACTTCAACTCTATACTTCTAACGTCTCCAGTAAACTCTGAAATGTTATTTATTTATTTTCTTCCTTCAGTAGGAGTAGATAGGTTTTTTGAATAGGAGTAGAGGTTTATCCTTGTTTCCTGTTTAGGATTGGGTTTCGGTTCCTTCTCTCTTCAAAAGTCTTCTATATCTTCAAAACTAGAAATATTATTTATTTATTTTCTTAATTTCAGTAAGATTAGATAGGTTTTTTGCTATAAGAGGTTTATCCCTTGTTTGAGACTGTTTAGGATTCACTTTTCCATTTCTAAATCTACTTCAACTCTATACCTAACGTCTACTAAATAAACTCTGAAATTTTTATTTGATTATTTTCAGTAGGATTTAGATAGGTTTTTTTTTTAACAGTTTGCATCATCCTTGTTTGTGTTTAGGATTGGGTTTCTTTCCTTCTAAAGTCTACTTCAAAAATTTTCTTCAAGTCCCACCTTAATGCTACTTAAATATGTTATTTATTTATTTTCTTCCTTCAGTAGGAGTAGATCCTGTTTATCCCTTGTTTTAATTTAGGATTGGGTTTCCGAAATTCTAAAGTCTACTTCAACTCTATATTTGTCTTATCCTGTTTATTGAAATAATTTGCATTTTGTTTTTCTATTCAAGTCCAGAGAATTTGTTAGCTTTTTTGTATTATTTCATTTGTCTTACCCTCTTAAGCATCCACCTAATTATCATTTACTTTCGACGACTTAACTTTGGAAATTCAGTGAACATTATTTTAAATCATTGCCTAAGAGTGAAGGTAATTATAATAAAAACATGTCATGGGGAAAACCGTCATACTGGCACTACCTTTTACAAAAAACTTAATCAGCAATGACACGAGGCGAGAACAAAAATAAACAAAAGAAAAAAGGAGACTGATTGATGAAATTAGATAACGTAGTCTCATTAGAAAATGAGGTATTCAGTATAATACTGGCCCCTTTTTATTTATTCATTTTCAAAATACTTTGCCGTGGTAATATAGCAACAGATTTTAATAGTAAAAAATCCCAGCGTTAATAGGAAAAGCAAAATTATCAAAGCCCTCCCCCAAATTAAATTTCGGCATTAAATGACCCTTAAGGATGTTGATATGCCGTTAAACAAGCCAAAGCTAACATTCTACCACTGTAACAAACGTGCTGAAGTAAACTCAATACAAGAAAAACGAAATACAATGTTTTTAGTCAATAAGCAAGTTTTATATACAATGTTTTACATGACTGATTAATAATTTTATATGTATATAATGTAATAATTTCAGTTGGCATAATTTTTTTCTTGTGATAAGTTTTAGTGCATAAGTGCACAATTAAATTGTTCAATCTTAACGAAAGAAAGACCTAATGTATGTTTGTATGAAGTGGCATTGATTTATGGAGAGTACTTCATTAATTGGAGAAACAAAACTTGAATTTATTTAGTTAAAACAGAGTTACCAAACCTGAGACTGATTAGAACCGTCTTATAAATTGTAAGTGGACCAAGTTGTGGTCATTTCAGAACAGTCCTGTTTGATTCTAAAATTGCGTTCTGCAATATGAAGATTTTTTTTATCTAACACGACCGGAACTAATGTTGAAAGCCAATGCGCAGAAGACACATTTATGCAATTCTCTCATCGTCACGAAATGTAAACTTCCGGCGAAATCCTCCAGAAAAGTCCGAAAATTTAATAGTTGTATTATATGTGGCATCGATCGGTATCTGCCGGCCTGAGCAGGGCTTTCTGGGAGATCGGCGGTTGCCCATGCAACACGTCTTCTTTCTCCACTGATGTTGTCCAAAGGAAGAGTAAAGTCTGAAACAGCTTGGCAGTGAGCGTCGTCACAGGAGTTACCAGAACGAAACTGATTTAAATACTCCGGCTTCGGCTTAGGGTTCCTTCCGGAAGTCCTCCCCATGATTAGGTATGGCCTCAAACCAGCGGAGTTTTAAAATTAGAGTCTCCTTTCTCTTAGGTGAACTATCCCTACTCAGAGTTTCATCTACCCGTAAGTTGTATTATACAATTAGTTTAACTGTGTTCCAGCAATTAATATTGGGATAATGCAGTTTCGAGTGTTAGTTTATCATTTATGTGGCGAAACCCAGAACGAAGGAAGCCTGTCAGCTATAAACTCTGTGCCCTATCCATAGCAGATTTTAGTCAGATGAAATGTAAAACTGGAAAGAAGTAAAGAAATGTTTAGATGCCAGTCACTCATGCGCGTGCGCAAACATTCATGCGCGCACACACGCATACAAACTAGATTACTAGAGCCTGGCCACATTCAGAGGTCCAGAACCTGGTAAATCTCTCTTCTGAAATAACAGCTCAATGGTAAAAGACAGGCTTCTAACATTCTAAAACCCTCCAAAAACATATAAATATAAATCATTCGATCACGTTATATTTGTCAAGTAATTTTTACAGATATGTCCTCCGGAGAAAAAAAAATTAGTTTAATTTCCAGATGTCAATAGAACTTTTGGGTTATCAATAGAATTGTCAAAACCACATAAAAACACCTATACGTGTTAAAAAATGCATTTTTTGTTTCAAATTTGATAATTTAAACTTTAAATCAGCTAATTTTCCTTAAATAAACTTTAAGAAAAGCATATTTGATTTTTGATCGATTTTTTTTTAATAAAGTGAATTACATTTTGCTGATGGATGATTAACAATGAATAAAATTAGCGATTTTTACGATTAAAAAAAATGAACTCCTTTAATTTAAATCAATTTAAATTGGCTTTAAAATACATCAAATTATTTTAATTATTGAAAATAATACATTTACTCTATTGAACTTCAAACTAAAATAATAGCTTCAATTTTCATTTAAAAAATTAATTTTAAACCTCAAGTACTGCTTTTTTAGGAGGTATCCTATATATATATATATATATATATATATATATATATATATATATATATATATATTTATATTTATTAGTGAACATTGAAGTCAACACTTAGAGGCGACAGGCTGTTTCCTGCTAGAGGAAATCGTCAGGCTACCTGAATGAATGTTTTATAATAATTATAAATAGATATATATTTGAAAAATCCTAAAAATTTTAAAATTAAAATTGATGAATCAAGTGTTGACTTTAATGTTCACTTTTATATTTACACACGCTCCATCTCTGATATTGAACACTTCATCCCATAAAAATATACACACCTTAAGATTATATTTCTTTCTATATATATATATATATATATATATATATATATATATATATATATATATATATATATATATGAGAATAAAGTGTCGTTGCCAACACTTGAGTTTGAATTTCATCGATCGCCCGTGAACAAACACATGTGATCCGATTGCTGAATTAAGTAGACCACGTGACCATAGAGGAAACGCTTAAGTAGAAAGTAGCGTGGCGTCTAAACGATCGCTATATTCCTAGTCTATCCTCTATTACTATTCGGATCTGCATTTCTATTCTATCTTCTATAATATACTGATCACCATTTCTACTCTATTACTATACGGAGCGCTATTCTCTACTCTATATTAACTATACTATTTCTCTATTCGGATCACTATATGGTTTACTATTCGATCGAGTATTATCGAATAAATACTGTTACTACGAATGTTATTCGAAGGCGCCTGATACCAGCATTGTTCAACGGCGTTTATGGTTTCTCTGTTACAACGAAAATTACGACAGTGTCAACGAGTATTCATTGAAATCAAACACACACACACACACAAATATATATATATATATATATATATATATATATATATATATAATATATAAATAACGTTTAAAAATTCTTGACAAACCTACCTAGGTTTCATTAAAAAAGTCCAATCAATTTTTTTTGAAACCTTGGTAGGTTTGTCTGGCTCTTTTGTGTTTTTTAATTTGCTCTAAAAGTTCTATTGAGCAAATTTGATTAGTTATTTGTACTTTACTAATGTTGGTTTTTTTTTTTTTGGACTCTGAACTTAGATTCTAGACGATTATTGTCGCCGAAAACAATGTTCTTAGTTCTTTTATTTTTTCCTTTTTTTCTTTGAGTATTGGTTTGTTCATTTACAAGCTAAGACACCTAAGGTTTTGCCGGACGAATATAGCTGCTTTTATTTATAAGATTATTTGTATTGCTAAACGTTTCCTATTTGTTATTTATCTTATAAATTCTGTCAAATTCCGATCCATATTTGATCGATGTTTGATATCAACTCATCTATCTATCTATCTATCTATCTATCTATCTATCTATCTATCTATCTCATTCTCTGATGATGAATGAATTTAATAAAAGTGAAACATGTTAGATTGCTAAAAAATTCCTATTTGTTCTTTATCTTATACTTCTGTCAAATTCTAATCCATATTCGTTTTGTATTAGACACTCTCCCCTCTCTCTCATATATATATATATATATATATATATATATATATATATATATATATATATATATGTGTGTGTGTGTGTGTGTGTGTGAAAAATGTCTCAGAGTTAACCTCTAGAAAAAGACAATAGGAAAACTCTAATATTAGCCGACGCGTTTCGTCCAATGTGGACTTTTCAATGCAGAAACGAGATGAATTTATTAGACAAAGTAACTAATAATAACATTTAATGCTAAGAACAATTTGTTTTGCTATTATTAGTTACTTTGTTTAATTAATTCGTTTCATTTTTGCTTTGAAAATGTCAACATTGAACGAAAAATTTATCGGCTAATATTAGAGTTTTCCTATTGTCTTTTACATTTATGAATAATAGCTAGGAAAAGACCAAATTTATAAAGCTTTTTAAAAGAAAAAGAAAAAAAAAACAAGCAGTTCCGTCCCAGGACTTATCAAGTTTATTTTTCTGGGAATAGGAATTTTATAAAAGCGTGTAAATTAAATTAACGAACGGAATGGAATGGAAGAGGAAAAAAAAATGAATTTCAAGAAACTAGAGTCCAATAACATTGAGACCCAGTAAGCATTCCCTCTATTTACAAAGGGAAGGCCCACGGGATCTGATATACAAGGACTCAAGAACCTTGAGGTGAAATGTGGAATGGGACCTAGATAAAATAAAAAAAAACGGTCCGCACTAAAATTAAACACACATTTCCTACTATTTATTCTATGCTCAGCAATAGCAGAGCCAGAACTATTGCTTAGTTGGCTCTTCCTGGCAGCCGGATTCAAAATCGTTGGGGGGTAAATGTTTTATTCTCGAATCCAAACGCTAGGACATCTATATATATAATAATAATAATAATGGACTCTCCCGTCAGTTTCGACGTATGAGCATCTGACAGCTTATTGATTCAGTTATGAAAGTTTGTGTGATAATCTTAAGTGGCATTTAAGACCCACTAGTGATTTACAAAGGAGGCCACATATGGAGCAAGTGTGAGAATTGTGAGATGAGATCACTGTTAGATTGGCTGACCTTTTAGATCTTGCCCTCGCTTCTTGAAGATGATTCAGACAAGCAGATTGAAAATTGCTGAGTCCACAAAAACAGGTTGATCTCCATTCAATCCGCTCCAAGGCTAAGCGCTCAAGGGTGCTATGTGGTATATTGACTGCCGACAAGTTGTGGATAAGAACGAATCAAGGTAAACCGCCAGAAAAGCCACACAAGTGATTTGATTAAAGTGGTGAAGGTTTGTGCAGAACCATCCACACTTTTCGGAACTATTGATACACTTAGTCGGTGCAAATAAATGCCACAGTCGAAGTAGACAATATATATATATATATATATATATATATATATATATATATATATATATATATATATCTAATTTGATACAAAAGCAAGGTTTATGAAAATCACGAGTACAAAGGGGTTACAGAGAGAGAAATGCTGTGTCTATAATTTGAAAAAAGGATAAAAGATGAACGAGGTTCAAGACAATGAAGATAGCGATTGACGTTGCATTTATATTTTTGAAGATTGTAGTTATCAGAGAAACAGTTAAGAAAAAGGAAGTTCCACTGTCGGGAAGTGCAAGAAAAGAAAAGAAGTTATGGTTGTATTTTGGTATTCAAATAGTAAAGGAGTGAGACCAAGATGCTAAACTAGTAGAATGCATAAATTCATGTAGTCGGAGCACCAGTGGGGGGAAAATATTTGCAGAAAAACAGAAAGAGACCACAGAGAGAGTGACTGGAGTCGAGATGCCAAGTCAGGATCGATTATATTGCAGGTCCTTATTTTTATTTTGTCAAGAACCCCGAGATGAATAGCAGGAGCACCTAGCCAAATATGGTCACAGCATTCAATGCACGGATAGATATTTAAATGCGCAAGATGAAGTCAGAGAAGAAAAACCTTCTGGCATGACACATTGACACAGCTTTCCTTGCTTTAGATGCAACTATTGGGTTAATGTAGTCGTTCCACTTCAAGAGATAGATCAAGTATCAACCATCATAAAGACTGAAAAAAAAAATTGACAAAGATTATTGTTTAAGGTTGACGGACACGTATGTCTTAATTAATTTTTTTGTTTTGTTCTGTTTTTGTTTTTTTTACGAATTGGTCAAACCCAAACTTAAACAAAAACATTGTTTTCAATCATTATGAGTCTACTGATTGAATAGAATTTTATTATAAACAATTGTCTTGTAAATGGAATTTTTAAAGCATTCTGAATGTAAAAATAAAGAAAATAGTGTGCAAGACAATAAGAAACACTACCTGCCCAAAAAAAAGTGGATGTTTGTTTTATCGGCTGAAAAATGTAAGAAATCCGATCCCATATATAAAGGAACACACACACACACACACACACACAAGCTGGGTTTTTTAACCTAAGTCACTCCACGGAATCGCTAAAAGACATTATAAAATACTAGCAGTAGAGCCCGGCGATGTAACAGTAAGATATAGATCAAGTATCGACCATCATAAAGACTGAAAAATAAAATTGACAAAGATTATTGTTTAAGTTTGACTGACATGCATGTCTTAATTAGTTTTTTTGTTTGTTTTTTTTGGGGGTGGGGGGTCAAACCCAAACTCAAACAAAAGCATTGTTTCAATCGTTATGAGTTTACCGATTGAATAGAATTTTATTATAAACAATTGTCTTGTAAATGGAATTTTAAAAACATTCTGAATGTAAAAATAAAGAAAAAAGTGTGCAAGACAACAAGAAACACTACCTGCCAAAAAAAGTGAAGTTTTGCTGAAATCGGTTGAAAATGTAGGAAATCCGATCCCATATATAAACAAACACACACACACACACACACACACACACACACACACAAAATGGGTTGATTAATAAGTATAACTCGATATGAGTTGTCCCCCTTCCATTCTCGTGATGCCTCTTAATCGTGTTTTCAAATTGATTTTGTGCAAAAACAATTGTGTTTTTCCAAATTTTGGCGCTGTCAGAACCACTGCAAGGTAATTTTACGTAGTCCTGTGAAGTTTTGTTGAAATCGGTTGAAAAATGTAGGAAATCCGATCCAATATATAAACAGACACACACAAAGACAACCTGGGTTTTATAATAAGTATGATTTTGGATGAATTTATTTACTTGTTTTTGTATATTTGACTTTATTTATTATCCTTTATTCTGTTTCGTTTTCAGTTTTCGATTTTTAAGCAACGTAGTTGTTGCGACCAAGTAAATGGTTAAGTAATAACAAAAACCAGGTTTGCGGATATATCGTATATTAAACAGTAAGTACACCAGAATATTACACGACTAGTGAGAGTGTATCATATGAACAAGCACTCCATCTATTCACTGTTCGCCGAAGCCTTCTGTCCTACTAATCTTATAGTAGCTGGAAGAGTCTAACATAGAGTCCTTAGAGGGAGGACACCACAACAGTAGTAAAATTTGTTTTCGTGTTTGCAGTTTGAGATGAGTGCTGATCAATTATTTAGTAGTTTGTTTTGGTCTGGGAAGGTAATTATAGTTATTACTTCCTCCAAGCAGAGTTTGCAGTTTTTGGATTGATTGTTGTAGGCTGCTGTTTTCTATGATATTTTTGATGTGATCTGTTTTTTTTAATCTCCCAGATATGTTTTGAAAGTATTGTGCTGTTCGCGTATTTACTATTTGTAAATGGTGTTTTGTGTGCGTAGTTTCTTTGTTTCCAGGGTCTTTAATTACTTCTATGTATATTTTACTTCGTTATCTGTTGACCTTACAGTGGCTTGGTGTATTACATTGTTCTTCTTCTTCGAATTAGCGTCATTCGTGAGCTGCTGATGTTTGTTGATGATTCTGCACTTGTGGAAACATCTCTAGAGGAAGCCCAAGAATTAGTCAGCCGTTTCTCCGTTGCATGCAAAGCTTTTGGCCTTACCATTAGCATAAAGAAAACGGAGGTAGTCCACAAGCCGCCTTCCTGTCCTAAACAGATTCGGGGTGTCAGACAACTTCCATCAGTTCATCAAACCCAGACACTCTTATGCAGATTGATTGGGAAGAATTGAATTATGTGAAGTCATTTACATATTTAAGAAATAAGATCAAAGCAAATGCATCCCTTGATGACGAAATGACAAATCGGATTGGCAAAGGTACAAGTGCATTTGTATAATGGCTTTTTTGCCGCCTAAAATAAGGAAAAGGATCATCAACTTGAACACCAAAATACGGATTTATAGAGCTGCCGATTTAGCCACATCGCTGTATGTGCTTAATTATGCTGTTACAATATATATATATATATATATATATATATATATATATATATATATATATATATATATATATATATATATTGAGATTATTTTTTGTTTATACATTATTTTATAGATACAAATATTTAAGTAAATGCTCTGTTTATAATAAACAAATATTTACCGGCCTGAATGTCCGAGAAATGTTCATAGAAAATATTCGTCCTCCGACAGGAATAGAACCTGTATCCTATACGGAACCGTCAAGCATGACAAATTTAACCGATACGCCATGAGCGGATATGAATGTATGTGAGAGAATTATGGAAGATTGTAGTTTAAAGACAGTAAAATCGACCTTGTTAACCGAACGCTCCTCTGTGGCAGAAACGGTTAAGGCACATCAGGCTATATGATAAAAATGATTAAAATAATTGTCGGACTTTGTCCATTTCATTATATATATATATATATATATATATATATATATATATATATATATATAATTAAATTGATTTAAAATATGTTTTTTTTGCTACAAAAGTTCTTTAAATGTTTCAAAAAATGAAACATGGTTAGAAACAGAAAGAAAAAAAATTTATTTTTAAATCAATTAATTTATAATATTAATGCTCTTTAAATTT